CGCGGGTCCCCGCGACCCCCGTGCAGGTGCAGGCGCCCCGCCCCCTCCCCAGGCCGGGACCACCGCGCGGGGGCGCTCACCTGGACCCGGAGGGGTCCCCGACCTCCCAGCCTCCCCTAATGCCGGGTTCAGGCAGGTGGCTGCAGACGCGCCCGCGGTCCTTGCCTGCTACCCACCCAAGGGTGCGCTGACCTCCCAGCGCCCTTAAAGCCGCCGCCTCCGGGCGCGCGCCGTGGCCCCTCGCCGACGAGTCTTTGCCTCTTGCCCCTGCAGGTGGTTCCCTCCGTCCGCCAGCTGGGCACCTATTTTTTTTTTTGCAGCGCGCTCGGCTCTCCCCGGGAGCGCGCGGCTCGCCCCGGCTGCAGTTGGCGTAGACTCGCCTTTTCTTTAAAAAATTTAAAAGAAAATGCAAAATATACGCTTCGTTTTGAAAAACAAAAAAGTCTAAATTTGGAAAAGCCTGTTCGGCACGTAGATGGTTCCCCCCTGTAGTTTCGGGGCGTGATTGCTTCTGGAGGTGGTAAGATGCAGAAAAGACCTTTTGGAAATTGGCTCCCAGCGGCCCGAGCTCAGCTGGTTTTGGGGAGGTGCTTCCCGGGTGACCCCGGCCGGCCGGTGGCTGAGAAATGCAAGGTGCCTGCTCGCTTTATAGATGAAGCGCTTAATCAGATAACCTGCGAGGAAATGCAGTCTCTTACAGGTATTTCAAGGCGGGATTTTAATTTTAATTAATTAATTTATNTCAGATAACCTGCGAGGAAATGCAGTCTCTTACAGGTATTTCAAGGCGGGATTTAATTTTAATTAATTAATTAAATTTTTTGCCATGAAACAGTGCGTGGCGAGTTCACCTTAGCCTGATCTTTTTCTGTACAGAAATGCGCTCGGCTTGGTTTCCTTGACAACCGTGTGGGGGTGTCTTTAATGTGCTGCAGTTCTGTCTCCCACTGATCTTTTTTTTTTCCTTTTGCTGCTGAAGGCACCAGCCCTGGTTACAGGCTGGGGGGAAAAAACTGCCTTTTTGCTTGTACTAATTCATCTTTTTATTTTTTTAAAAATCCTCACTGGAGGATATTGTTTCCATTGCTTTTTCAGAGAGAGTGGAAGGGGGAGAGAGAGAGAGAGAGAAACATTGATGTGAGAGAGACTCGTCGGTTGGTTGCCTCCCAAGAAAGCCCCAACCGGGACCAGGAATCGAACCCATGACCCTTTGGTGCGTGGGCTGACGCTCTAACCACTGAGCGACACCGGCCAGGGTTCCCCTTTATTCATTTATCATTTGCACCCTACCTGGCTTGGCTCCGTGGTCAGAGCGTCAGTCTGTGGACTGAAGGGTCTGAGTTTGATTCCGGTCAAGGGCATGTACCTTGGCTGCAGGCTCCGCCCGGTCAGGGCCCAGACGGGAGGCAACCTATCCATGGGTCTCTCTCACATCGATGCTTCTCTCTCTCCCTTCCACTCTCTCTGAAAAGCAATGGAAAAAATATCCTCAAGTGAGGATTAAAAAAATATATATATATTTGCGTGGGTTATTTTATCCATAGTGTTATAATCCATATGTCATTCTTATAATATCCAGTGGGTTTTTATTTATTATTGCCATTATTTGTTTTGATGCTTAAATTGTGTCAGATTTGGCCAACAGAAGCCCATTCATCTTTAGATGTGTCTGCCTGTCTCTATATATTTACATATATATATATATACACATATATATATATATTTTCTTTTGAGTGTTTTGCTATTACCAAAAGACTGCAGTGGTAGCCTGTGCAGTGCATACATCTGTTGTATTTTTTACTGGAGTATCTCTGGGTTATTTTTCTAGAAGTGGGATTTCTGGGTCAAAGAGGAAATGCATAATCTAATTTTGCAAGACAGTGTCAAATCCCACTCAGGAGCATGTGTCTCCACCAGCAGTGTATGGGAGTGCCCGTGTCTTCTTGCAGACTCACTGACAGAGCATATTGCCAAATTTTTTTATTTTTACCGATCTAGAAGGTCAGTAATGACACATCTTATTGTAGTTTTAGTATGAACGTCTTCTGTCGTTATGTGAGAAATCGAGCATCTTTTCACATGGTTGAGAGGCACCTGCACTTCTGTTTACTGTCTCTTCACTTCTCTAGCCCATTTCCCTGTGGGTTTTTGGATTTCACCTTCTTTATTTTTAGAAGTTTTTCATACATTAGGATGTGTTCAGGGTCCCACACACCACCCCTGGGTTCGGTGATTGGCTAAGAACAGTCACAGGGCTGCATTGGAAAGGTCCAAAGCAAAAGCAGCCAACACTGGACTTCATAGGGATCTCAATCAGAAGCACCTCCCTGCAGTAACATGGTGACGTTTGCACTTCCCAACATAGATGAATCGAGCTTACAGTGTCGCCTTCTGCTCCGGATGCGCCACTGCAGGGGGCACGCGAAGTTGACAGTAGTCAGACTGATTCCCCCGACTGCCAGAAGTGACGGCTGTGGAAAGGGAGGTTAACAGGAGTGGAGTAAGCCTCGCACAAGGACTGTTTCAAATGTTGGGGGGCCCAGCCGGTGTGGCTCCATGGTTGAGTGTCAGCCTATGAACCAGGAGGTCAAGGTTCCGTTCCCGGTCAGGGCCCATATCCAGGTTGGGGGCTCGATCCCCAGGAGGAGGCAGGAGGCAGCCGATCAATGACTCTCACCATTGATGTTTCTCTCTCTCCCTCTCCCTTCCTCTCTCTGAAATCAATAAAAACATATAAAAAAAAAAACCACCCCAAAATTAATTAAAATATTGGGAGCAGATACACATCTGTTGTATTTGCAGAAAGAGACAGTGGAAGGTGCACAAGCCCCGGAGGCGGGTAGCAGGCAGACACGGCTAGATGGGTGTAGGAGGGGCGGTGAGGCGTCTTAATGGGGACCTTCCTGTGGCGTTTTGAAGCTCGACTGCGAGGACTTTGTGTCGAGGGCAGAGCTGCGGCTGTGGGTGCCGCTCCGTGCAGCCGCTGGCTCTGTGGCCCTCTGTCCTGACTCCGTCTGAGGCAGGCCCCGGGTCGGGTGCGTGGAGGCCGTTGCCTTGAGAACGCGGTGGGCGGCCGTGGGAAGGACGCCGCCCCCACCCCGCTGCTGCCCTCGTGACAGGTGCTGACAAATAAACAGAAACCCGGGGGCTTCAATGTGAAAGTGGTTGGTCTTGATTCCTCACTTGCCTGTTAGCTCTTCGCGCATCAGATGTATCAGGTGCGCAGAGGGCTGGCAGAGAAACAATGTGACATTTAGTGTAGCCAGGGACCCCTTCAGGTAGCAACTGGGAAGGAAATCGGTGGATTTGATCACCAAACTGTTTAAACAGTTACCTTTCGGAAAGCATGTAACTGAAGGTAAACAACAAATGGGGGAAAAATTAGAGATATATCTGAGCAAGCACTAATGTCCTCAGTATGGGAGAGTTGACACAAATTGATAAGATACTAAAACTAGTAGAGAAAAAAAATCTAAGGGCAGTGCCTGGAAGAAATAGTAAAATCAGCATGTGGTAAAAATACATTTAAAAACCCTGAAATTTATTTACTTGAATTTGGAATGTATTACCATGTCAAAAAAAAATTAGTATCAAGCTTCTTGAAAGAATTCGTAAAATAGAGTGAATTAATAAAGTGACTTTCAGCACCCCCAGCAATGATTTACTCATTACAAACATCACTACAGAATGGGGGGCCCTGTCCTGACCTCACTGTTTATCACAGCGGCCTAGTCAGAGCGGGAATGGGGGGGCCCTGTCCAGACCTCACTGTTCATCACAGCAGCTTGGACAGGACGGGAATGGGGGGCCCTGTCCAGACCTCACTGTTCATCACAGCAGCCTGGTCAGGATGGGAATGGGGGGCCCTGTCCAGACCTCACTGTTCATCACAGCAACCCAATCAGGATGGGAGAGCTGACGGTTCCTTTCATCTTTTCATTTCCAGCAGATGGTTCTGAGTGGTGGTCCCCCCACCCACTTTAAAAAAAAAAAAAATAACGTAGGAGATTAGCAAATGCTTTGGAACAATAGTAGTATTTGGCATTCATTCCAGTTGAGAGTTTTGGAATCTGTCACAGCATCTTGACAGAAAATGGGCTCGGCCTGAAACGGTTTGATAAAGAAACTCCGTCAGGCATCTCAGGAGGCGGGAGCAGGTTCTGACGTGCGCCGCGGCATTGGAGGAGCATTGTGCGGTCACTCGCTCGCCCCACTGACGGTCGTGGAGCTGGGGAGCAAGTGCTCCACGTTGGAAGCAGCCCTGAAGGGGCAGCCACCTGCTGGGATTGGGGCTCTTTCCCTGCCCACGGGCTGCCTGGCTCTGGCAGCTTCATTAACTCCTCAGCGCCTCGGTTTTCTCAACTGCAAAGCAGTGATGATGTTTACTTTCTTCATGGGGTTTTTGTAAAGACTGAGAGAGTGTAAAAGCGCTTTTGTAGTTATTACGGACACACAGATGTAATTTACGGGCTCATATATGCATACAAGAATTTTTCCAACAGAAACGAGCATACGATTTCACGTTTTTGTAACTGCTTGCTTATCCGAAATTCGTGTCTGATTCTCAGCCGTCACTTTTTTTTTTTTTTTTAATTTCAAGGGAATATTTTGAGGCTCACTATTTGAGGGCTTGGAGAGCTTATAATAAAAGACATTAATGGCCCGGCCGGCGTGGTTCAGCGGTTGAGCATCAACCGAGGATCCAGGAGATGGGGGTTCGATTCCCGGTCGGGGCACAGGCCCGGGTTTTACGCTCCGTCCGCAGCGNCAGGAGATGGGGGTTCGATTCCCGGTCGGGGCACAGGCCCGGGTTTCACGCTCCATCCGCAGCAGGGGGCGTGCAGGAGGCAGCCGATCAGTGATTCTCGCATTGATGTTTCTCTCTCTCTCCCTTCGTCTCTCTGAAGTCAATTTTAAAAAAAGACTTTAATGGGGTGTCGAGGAGAGTGTCATCTAAACTGTCGGTGGCTTTGTGCTCCTAGGTACACCAAGCTGGGCTACGCAGGCAACACGGAGCCCCAGTTCATCATCCCCTCCTGTAAGTAGAGCGCCCCTCAGAGCTGCTCGGAGCAGCCTCACGGTCTCTCCAGGGGTTTCCGCCAACCTGCCGTCTTCAGGGAGGGGATCGTTCCCGTGGCGGGGGCGGGCTGTTGAGTCTGACACCTAATTCTTGAATATTGCTGTTAGCTGCAGGTGTGACCTAAAAAGAAACCCCAACTTTCTGACACAGTGGGGGGCTTGCAGGAGGCAGCCAATCAATGTTTTGCTCTCAAATGGATGTTTCTCTCTCTCTCCCCCTCCCTCTCCCTTCCTGTCTCTCTAAAAAAATTTTTTTTAAAAAAGCGTAACCTGTGCTCCAGGTGATTCTGTGTGGTGCCGGTCTGTTTTCAGAGATGGGTTTGGTTTATCTCTGCAGGCCGCCTTAGTGAGTTAAGTCATGGCCTCCATGCCGTCCTGGTCCCATCCTCTGCCTCGTGGCCCCAGACATGCTCCCTGCTTCTGACGGGGACACCCCCGGGCTCGGTCCCCAGCATTTGCAGGTCGTGCCTGCTTCCTCCGCCCTGCAGGACCCCTGTCCTGTAGATTCCTGCCACCTTTCCCAGCAAGTTGGAGTGAGAAGAGGTGGGCAGAGTGATTTCCATCCTGTGTCACTTCTTTTTCTCCCCCTCTGCCCACTCTTCATGTGTAATAAATTGGGGATTTCAGATAGTTCACTTTTTTAAAAAAGAATTTTTTACTGATTTCAGAGAGAGGAAGGGAGAGGGAGAGAGAGAGAAACAGCAATGATGAGAGTCATGGACCGGCCGCCTCCTGCACGCCCCCTGCTGGGCATCGAACCCACAACACGGGCTTGTGTCCTGACCGGGAACCGAACCTCGATCTCCAGGATCCTAGGTCGATGCTCAACCACTGAGCCACGCCAGCCGGGCGGGATAGTTCACTTTTAAAAACAATCGTGTCTATTTACTGATTTATTTGGGAATAAACGATGCCAATGAGTGTATGGGTGCTCGGAGTAGAACCAGGGGTCAGGAATTTGAATGGGAAATTGGATCTTTGCGAAGCTCTCCACATACATTAGATGTTCAGTTCTGGAGGGGAGTTTGATATAATTATTTATTACTGAGTGTATTCCCAAACATCCAGGCTGAGCTCTTATTAAAATAGCATATCAGCCCTGGCCAGTGTTGCTCAGTGGTTAGTGTGTCAGCCTAAGGACTGAAGGGTCCCGGGTTCGATTCCGGCTGAGGGCACGTACCTGGGTTGCAGGTTCCATCCCCGGCCCCGGTCAGGGTGCGTGTGGGAGGCAATCAATGGATGTGTCTCTCCCACATCAATGTCTCTCTCTCTCCCCCTCCTCCCTTTCCACTCTCTCTGGAAAGCAATGGAAAAAAATATCCTCAGGTGTGGGTTAAAAACAAATTAATTAAATAAAACAGTGCATCAGAAGCCACTCGTGCATTTTTATAACAGTTTGATTTCTGTACTTTTCATGATATTAGCCTCCTCCTGGTTCTTTCTTTTAGTGGGAAGTCAGTTCTTCTGTAACAAGACTAAAAATACGTTTTAAATTTATATCTGATGCAGAGTTTTATTCAAACGATGTAAAAGCACACGGGCGTTATTTCCTTCAGTTGATTCTCCTCTTCTGTCTTATGGTTTTAATTTTGTCTCTTATATTTTAAAATTTGGAACCTGTTGATATATGTATATACACTTCAAGGGCATTTCACAACCTTGTGGAATACTTTTTCCAGCTGGAACTGAGAGATTGAATCGTGTAGCCTCTGTCAGCACTGGACGCTGACCAGCTAAGCTCCTGCGCCCGACCGGGGACTTAGAACCGGTTCCCGTAGTGCTTTAGAGGCTCCCCGATAGCATCTCCTCTGGGAACACCCTCGACCCCCGATAAATCCCCAATGGGGAAAGTTTACTTTGCACATGCACAGGGCTTATATTACCCTTTCTTAGTTATTTAAATGAACATCGATAGTGATGGAAACCCTCTTTTTTTTTAAGGTATTGCCATCAGGGAGTCTGCAAAGGCGGTGGACCAAGCCCAGAGGAAGGTGTTGAGGGGCGTGGACGACCTGGACTTTTTCATCGGGGATGAAGCCATCGACAAGCCCACCTACGCCACCAAGGTGAGCCGGGGGGAGAGCCGCGGAGCGAACCGCGGAGAAGGGCAGAGGGTCTGGAAGGTGTGCTTGGGACTGGCCTGTGTTTCATCCCTGTGTCTGAAAAGAGGTTTTGCTGCTGTGGTTTTGGACACGGGGACTCGAAACCCCGGGATGCAGCCTGGACTCCGGGACGCCGGGTTGCACAGGGAGGCAGGCTCTGCAGAGAAGGAAAGTCACAGGCTGACTAATTAGCCTGTCAGATACAGTTAGAAGTTGCAGGTGGATTAAAGAGAAGCACTGAAATTATGTAGCCATTTGTTCTAAAAAAAAACAACACCTCCTGAGCTGTACTTTCCAGCTGCTGCTACATTGTTGAGACCGCCTTTGTCCTTAGAAATGGGTGGAGTTAGAGTATAAACAGTTCCGGGACAGCCTCTCTGGTGAGGTGCCTGTTGTTTCCCTAGTCGGGTGGGGAAGGGCCGGCCCATATATAAGCCTCGAAATCCTTGGGTGCGGCCCTGCCAAGGCAACCGCAGGCGGGACTCGAAATTCAAGAAACCTAGTTTTTTTTTTCATAGCTAATTTTTAAGTTGATAATTCTGTGTGGCCTGTGAATGACGTTATAAATTATCCAAATGGCCCTGGGCGGAAAAAAAGTTCCCCACCCCTGCCCGACGTGAAGAACATTCAGGGGAGCCTCCATCCTGCGCTTGCTCCGCCTCCCGGGGCCACGCCGTTAGGGTGCCCTGACGGACGGGCACCGAGGCCTGACGCACCTGGCTTCTCTTGCGTTAGTGGCCGATACGACACGGAATGATCGAGGACTGGGACCTCATGGAAAGGTTCATGGAGCACGTGATCTTTAAATACCTTCGAGCTGAGCCTGAGGATCATTATTTCTTAATGGTGAGTAGCTGGAACTGGGAGGGACACAGCTCTGCAGATTCCCAAGTGCTTGCATTTTATTTTATTTTATTTTTTTAAGGGCTNGCTGGAACTGGGAGGGACACAGCTCTGCAGATTCCCAAGTGCTTGCATTTATTTATTTTATTTTATTTTATTTATTTTATTTATTTAATTTTATTTTATTAATTTTATTTTTTAAATAAGGGCATTTAAAAAATATATATATATCTTTATTGATTTCAGAGAGAGGAAAGGAGAGGGAGAGAGAGATAGAAACATCAGTGATGAGAGAACCATTGATTGGCTGCAGCCCGCAACCTGGGCATGTGACCTGACCGGGAATCGAACCCTGATCGCCTGGATCCTAGGTTGACGCTTAACCGCTGGGCCATGCCCGGCCGGGCAGTGCTTGCATTTTAAACCCAAGGTATTCTTCCCCGGGGAGCCTTGAATTTCTGCAACAGTATGAATCAGGGTTGCTTTTCTGGGCAAATAACAGAAGGCTCAACGAAAATGTCTGAAGCCGCCCTGGCTGGTTTGGCTCAGTGGTTAGAGCATCAGCCCCTGGACTGAAGGGTCCCAGGTTCGGTTCCAGCCAAGGGCATGTGCCTGGGTTGCAGGCCCGATGCCTGGCCCCAGTTGGGGCGAGTGCGGGAGGCAACCCGTCGATGTGTCTCTCTCACATCGATATTTCTCTCTCTCTCCCCCTTCTATTCTTTCTGAAAAGCAATGGAAAAAATACCCTCTGGTGAAGATTAAAAAAAAAAAATGTCTAAAGCCAAAAGGGCTCATTGTCTCACTAAACGGGAAGTCTGGAGTCAGTGGTCCCCGGGGGTCATCACAGCCACTCAGTGGCAGAAGCAAGGGCCGGCCCAGGCCTGGCGCAGCGTCCTGGTGGTCCCCTCGGGCCCAGCACACCTGCCAGGTTTCCGCATCACCCCTGGTGTCCGCGCTTTCAGAGGGAGGCGCACCTGTTGAGATTCCCAGGTACCTTCCCTGTAGATTGGCCCATTGTCGTCGCCTCACCTGGTCACGAGGGCCGGGAATGGAGTTACCCCGACAGGTTGAGGGTAATCAGGACTCTCTCCCCGGGGCCGGGCGGGGCCTCCCTCTGATCACCTGGCCTGGGAGGGTGGGGGCCTAACCGGCCTCTCACCGCCGGGAGGTGGAGGGGGAACTGGCTGGAGGAGACAGCCGTCTGTGCATTTCCATAGCTCCGTCAGGTAACTGCAGGGCTGTGATTTTTGCTTCTTACAACAGAGGAAACTGAGGCAGGATTTTTTTTGCCATAGTTGAATTCGATCCGGGTTATAGGCCCTGATTATATCGCTTAATCTTCTTCAGACAAAATAAAGCACTAAGGAGAAACGAGAAGAATCATCTCCTGGTCATGGACTCTGTCCGCATCGTACAGTCAATGTCACGTGTCTTCTTCCACGAAATGTTCCTTTTAAGTTGAAATTGATGACACGTGCGAGACGTGCGCTTTACGGGGAGCAGTCGAGGCCCGGCCGCTGTCCCGCTCCCGCCCCTCTAGCTCCGGGGGGGCCGCTGCCTCCGGAGGCCCGTCCCTCCCCTGAGATCGAAGTCCCGGGTCCTCGGGCGCTCTCGCTGTCTCGGGCGAGTGTCCCTGCGCTCGGCACCTGGCGCCGCTCGGCTCCAGGGTGTTCAGGTGCTGCCGTCAGAGGTCGGGTTTCCTTCCCCGTAACCTGTTCTTGGTTGTGGTCCCTAAGCAGGGCGCCCAGGGAGGCCTTTGCTCTGCGGCTTCAAGGTCCGAGCCCGCGGCCCGGTTTCTCCGAGGACCACCCGGCTGCTCCGCTGTAAAGGGCGGTGCCGCCCAGCGTCCCGATGACCGGCTGATGTCCTGACGTGAAATCCGGGCGAGTACTGAGGCGGTGACTGCTCTCTTACAGACGGAACCTCCGCTGAACACGCCGGAGAACAGAGAATACCTCGCGGAAATTATGTTCGAGTCTTTCAATGTGCCGGGACTCTACATCGCTGTTCAGGTAAAAGGGACACACAGACCCCCCCGACACACAGACACACACAGACACATACAGACGCATACAGACACACACACACAGACACATACAGACGCATACAGACACACACACACAGACACACAGACACAGACACACAGACACACACACACACAGACACACACACACACAGACACAAACACACACACACATAGACACACACACAGACACACATGCACACACACAGACACACACAAACNGAATACCTCGCGGAAATTATGTTCGAGTCTTTCAATGTGCCGGGACTCTACATCGCTGTTCAGGTAAAAGGGACACACAGACCCCCCCGACACACAGACACACACAGACACATGCAGACGCATACAGACACACACACACAGACACACACACAGACACACATGCACAGACACACACACAGACACACATGCACACACACACAGACACACACAAACACACACACATAGACAGACAAACAGACACACACACAGACACACACACACAGACACACACACAGACACACACACAGACACACACACACAGACACACACACAGACACACACACGGACACACACAGACACACACACAGACTCATGTACTCACCCCCCCCACTCATCTAGACCGAGGTGGTCCAGCCTCACCCTTCAGATGGGCAGCTCTTTGTGGTGGGGCTTCCTGTGCATCCGAGAATGTTTAGCGGCGTCTCTGGCCTTGACCCACCCGCATCTTCTCCCCAGGGGTGACCAAAGCTGGCACCAGGCCTTTCTCAGTGTCCCTGGGGGGCAGAGTGACCCTAGTTGAGAACCAGCGCCCAAGTCCCACCTGAGCAGAATTTCCGGGGTGAGGCTGGCGATGCGTCTCACAGACCCCACACGTGGCCTTGCTGCAGCCGCCCGTGGACCCCACGGGGAGCCCCTGGATCAGAGATACCATCTCTGACTCCGCAGTGAGGTCCCCGCCTGTCTCTCTGACTTTGTAAAAAGTCGATTTATTTCCAACTCGAGTCCTCCAGCCCGAGAACCTGCAGGCTCCTCGTCTGACCTGGGATTTGAATTCCGGGGGGAGGCGAGGGATGTGGGGGGAAGAGTGAGGTCGCTCGGTAAGGAAGACCTGTCGCTTGGCCTGCGGGCGAGCCTGCGGGCGCCGGAGGAGCCCTGCGCTGACAGCCCGTGTCCCGTCCAGGCGGTGCTGGCCTTGGCGGCGTCCTGGACGTCCCGGCAGGTCGGCGCGCGCACGCTGACTGGCATCATCATCGACAGCGGGGACGGGGTCACCCACGCCATCCCGGTGGTAAGCAGACTAGTCACTGCCTCTCTCTGTAGGACTCCCCCGATTGGAGGTAAGGGAACAGTTACAGAAAAAAAACTCTTCTGTAATCAAAATACCACTTTCAGTGCCGTAGCTGTACTTAGGTCACGAGAGTTGTTCAGCCAGGAATGTGAAGAAAGGTGCCCGGCCTCCGTGGCGTTGGCAGTGTCTGCCATCGGTTGCCGGCCCCTGGGTGGGGGCGCCAGGGCCCCGCCTCGCCCCGGGGTCACGTGAACGGGGGCAGTTTCCTGCGCTTGGGGACAGGCGTCATCGGGGGAATGGGTTTGCGGGCGCGGTGGCTGGCCACGCGGTGGCTGTCTCCGTTCTGTGACTCACAGGACGTGGGTGGCTTTAGAGAAGGAGCCGCTGGTCTTTGTGAGGATTTATTCGCGAGCCGGGAGGGGAGGTTGAACGACTGACCCGCAGAGTGCTCTGCGATGTCGCTGTTCGGTTTTACATTTCAGAATATTAGAGAAGTGATTCCTCGTTGGGGCTTTAAGAGACTCCTGCTTCTTTATTTTATTATTTTATTTTTTTATTTTTGTCCAATAAACTATTTAAATGAACTGCAAATATTTGCAGTTGTTTTCTGCAAATAAATTGAGCCTGTCTGGAGGGAGTGTACCGGGGAGAGTGCCACCGGCTCTCATCCCTGCTCTTTCCACCAGGTCGTCTTCCCAGAGGCAACCCCGCTCCTGGTCATTTATGTTTATTAGAAGGACGTCTGCGTGCACAGGGGCGTGTGCGTGTGATGCCTTCTAACAATGCAAACTGGGGCCTTTTTTAAAAAATATGCACTTCCTTTCGTTGAGAAGACAGTCACCATTTATTTCAGGAGGTTGAAGGAAGGCTGCACCGATGTGCTTTTATCCCTCAGGGCCGGAGCTCCTGCAGGGAGGGTTGAGGTGGACGTGCCCTCGTTCGGGAGAGAAGTCAGATGCCCCCCAGCCCCTGCCGGGGTGCCCTGTGCGGGGGGATCTGGGGGGACAGGCATGACTCCACGGTGCCCTCACAGCATCTTCTGTGCTTGGAGCTCCTTCGAGCCAGTCCTCTCATTTTTAAAAAATGTCTGTTTTGTGTGTTTTTTAAATANTGCCGGGGTGCCCTGTGCGGGGGGATCTGGGGGGACAGGCATGACTCCACGGTGCCCTCACAGCATCTTCTGTGCTTGGAGCTCCTTCGAGCCAGTCTCTCTCATTTTTAAAAAATGTCTGTTTTGTGTGTTTTTTTAATTGATTTTAGAGAGAGAGGAAGGGAGAGGGGGAGAGAGAGAGTCACCGGTCGGCTGCCTTTTCTACGCCGCCTACTGGGGATCAAGTCCGAAACCCTGGCATGTGCCCTGACCCCGCTTGGAGCCAGTGACCTCTGGGTCCACGGGAACCACGTCCAACCAGCGGAGCCGCACCGGCCGAGCCCAGATTGTTGATTTTTAAATAAAGATAGACTTATAGTTAGTTTAGCAGTTCATAGATGAAAATCTCCTTTTGTTAAGGGAAAAAATAAAGACTGGCTTCACGGTCCTGACACAGGGCCTTCCTTTCGGGAGACGGACTGGCCTTGGTGCTTTTCCGAGCACGTTGTTCTGGTTGCTTGTGGGGAGGCCCGGTCACGTAGCGGGACTGCGGACGCAGTTGCGAAAGGGCCTCGCCCAGGGGCCGAGGGGGGGGCCCGTGAGTGCGTTTGGGCCGCGAGGGCCGGGGGCCCCCGTGGAGCCAGGGGCGCGTCCCCGCGGGAGCTGCTGACACTGTCCCCTGTCCCCTCTCCCCCCAGGCAGAAGGCTATGTAATCGGGAGCTGCATCAAACACATCCCGATCGCAGGTAGAGATATTACGTATTTCATTCAACAGCTGCTAAGGGAGAGGGAGGTGGGAATCCCTCCTGAGCAGTCACTGGAGACCGCAAAAGCCATTAAGGTAAAAACAGACGGGGAACGGGCTGGTTTGGGGTGAGAGAGAAGGGCTGTCTGGACACTTCCCCTGCCGC